ACATAAGGGTGCATATATCTTTGCAAAGGAGACATACAAATAGCCAACAGATATATGAAAAGATGCTCCACTTCCCTAGCTATTAGGGAAATGCAAATCAAAACTACAGTGAGATACCACCCCATGCCTGTTAGAATGGCTATTATCAACAATAGCAAGTGTTGGAGAGGTTGTGGAGAAAAAGGAACCCTCATTCAGTGCTGGTGGGAATGTAAACTGGTACAGCCACTATGGAAAACAGTATGGAGGCTCCTCAAAAAATTATGAATAGAGTTACCATATGACCCAACAACCCCACTTCTGGGTACCCACCTGGAAAATTAGAGACTTGTATTTTAAAGCTCTTTCAGATGCTAAAAAATCCATATTAACAAATCACCATAATTAAATAAGTTCTCTATCCCTAAGAATAATATTTCTATATAATGTAACTCAGGTTGAGGACTTAATTTAATTAAGCTACCCATATCAATGATGTTGAACAAGTAGGTAAATAGTTATTGAAATAGCATGTGGGTGATGAAACATTTGGAAGTGAGTGTGATGGAAAACTGCCATCCAAAGCAATTTGGGGTTTCAATTCAAAAATCTAAAATTCTAATATTTAGAGAAAAAACATTAATTTAAGTAAGTATGATGTCACTAATCTATACAAAGCCCTTCCAAATAAAAAATGTGTGTTGGTAAGGTGCTGACATTCTCCAGTGTATTCCCCCCAAATTTAACTTTTGTTCAAATGGCTACATTGAAGAGACGGAAAGATTTGGTGGGGCAGATGCTGGATTTATAGCTCAAACTGTAGTTCCTTTTGAGATTATAGAAACAACCTTAAGTTTCAGGACAATGATTGGGGCTTTGTATTCTTCTGCCGTACAGTTTTATTTGAAACCCTGGATGCAGGCCGAGTTTTCAAGAAGTAACTGTGATATAGACCTACTGTATTTTAAGACTTCAGGCTTCTTTATTTTATCTTTCTTGAAAATAAATTAATAAGTTTCTCAAACAAGTGAAAAATGTGCCTAAAACACAACAGCAAATACTAATAAACACAGTTGAAAAAAGTATGAGTGTATTAAATGTAGACCTTGTCCATAGTTTCAGGGGAATAATGATCTAATCTAATAAAAGAGAAACATGCAAATTGACCGTAACTTCGCTACACTCACAAGTCATGCCCACCAGCCAATCAGAGCGACTATATGCAAATTAACCCAACCAAGATGGTGGCCGGCAACCACGGAGCTGGAGCAAGCAGGAGGCTTGGTTGCCCCAGCAATGGAGGAAGCCAAGCTTCCTGCCTACCCTGGCCAGCTGTGGCCTCCACTAAAGGCAACAAAGTTTCAATTATAGAAGATAAATAAATCCCAGATACCTGCTTCCATCCAGCCTCCACTGGGAGCTTGGGTGGCTGGGGGCTGGGGCCAGCCTGCAAACAGCCATCAGCCCCTCACCTAGCTGGCCAGGCACCCCAGCGGGGACCCCCACCCTGAAGGGGCTGTGGCCAGCCTGCAAACAGCCATCAGCCCCTCACCCAGGCTGGCCAGACACCCCAGGGGTGACCCCCACCCTGAAGGGGCTGTGGCCAGCCTGAAAACAGTCATCAGCCACTCACCCAGGCTGTCCAGGCACCCCAGCAGGACCTCCCTCCCTGAAGGGGGTGTGGCCAACCTGAAAACGGCCCTCAGCCCCTCACCCAGGCTGGCCAGGCACCCCAACGGGACCCCTACCCTGATCTGGGACACCCTTCAGCACAAACCAGCCAGCCCCCACCCATGCACCAGGGATATAATAAAAGGGTAATATGCAAATTGACCCTAACAGCAGAATGACTGGGAATGACTGGTCACTATGACACACACTGATCACCAGGGGGCAGACACTCAATGCAGGAGCTGCCCTCGGTGGTCATTGTGCTCCCACAGGGGGAGCTCTGCTCAGCCACAAGCCAGGCTGCCAGCACAGCAGTGATGGTGGGAACGTCTCCTGCCTCCTCAGCAGCGCTAAGGATGTCCGACTGCAGCTTAGGCCTGGTCCCTGCTGGCAAGTGGACATCCCCCAAGGGCTCCCGGGCTGCCAGAGGGCACAGGCTGGGCTGAGGGACCCCTCCCCCCCCGAGTGCACAAATTTTTGTGCACTGGGCCTCTAGTAAGAAAATATTTGCAGGACCAATAAAAGTGCATACAGGGGTGGGCAAAAGTAGGTTTATAGTTATAATACCAATAAATACAATAATTAATAAGTAATAATACAAGAGTAAACAGTTTCACCTACTCACAGCTGTAAACCTATCTTTGCTTGCCCCTGGATTTGAGAAAGCCTTTCTGAGTCACCCCAATTTTAAACAGGAAGTGGAGAAAGATGCCCTTACTGACTATCAAAAATGGGATTCACTAACTGAGTGAATGTCAATGTTTTATGTGCTACTCAACCTTATTTATTTATTTTTAATCCTCACCTGAGTATATGGAGAGAGAGTGAGAGCGAAAGAGAGAGCAAGAGAGAGATATGAAAGAGAACCATCCATTGGTTGCCTTCATACACGCCCACTGGGGATTGAACCCGAAACCTGGGTATGTGCCCTGATGAGGAATCAAACCCACAACCTTTTGGCATATGGGATGATGCTCCAACCGGCTGAGCCATTTGGCCAGGGCAACCAGATTTTACTTTTAAAGGAATACGTATGGCTCTTCTGGTATGGGGACTTTGCCTAAAAGAACATAAATTAGAAATCTGTCAGCAATTGTCCACAGATTCATATTTCATGTCCTCAAGCAGATACTGTATTAGCCAGAGTTAGAATTCCTTGAGGTTATGTTAGGAGCCTTCTATTTGGAAGTAATTGGTTGCTATAGAAGAAGGGAGCACAGCTTTGCATTGTCATAGGATTTTTAACAATTTGAATGATTGGATTGTTAAAAAGCATAAGTTTTATTATATCCTACTATATCTCTGGCATCAGCTGTGGTTACACGCAAGGTTGGAAATAGTAACTAGTTAGCTGTCAGTCAACTTTTCAGATCAGAGCTTTTTGTGATTTTTTTAGCCTTCAGCTGGGCTGCTGCTGAAAACCCAGGGCGGTTGGATTCCCTTTGATTCATTACCTAAGTGATGGTGGTTTTAAATTAATAAAAAGGACTATACAGACCCATGATGACACTCAAGATGTTTCTCCCGGTAGAAAATTTGGGGGAACAATTAGGAACAGTATGCTGGTCTTTTTATGTTAACAGCTTTGTTGCAATATAGTTGATATACTATAACATTCACCCTGATCATTTTTTAAGTAGAGGGGAAATATTGATAGATGTCTCGCTATAAGCTACTTCCTTCTATTTTAAAGCATAATTAAAAGTATATACTTACACTAGTAAGATTACCTTTTTGGTAATCGTAAGATGATCTTTAACATTTCTGAATCTTAAGCGAGCAAGACTTGAGTGGACTGGGAAGAGTATCCCTGTGTTGGAGAAATAGAATTCTCATGGGTTATACAAATGCTTAAACATCCTGGCCAGTGTCAGTGTTGGAAAATACTAAGACATTCCATTGAGGTGTAAGCAATAATCAGGTTTAAAATAATTACTAGGAAAAACATCTTTTGGGGTATAGGTAGGGTAGACTCTGATAAGAATTGTCCTGCTTTCATGATGAATCTTTGTGTTTTTTTTCTGTTTAGAGCTGATACACTATTTAAACTTTTTTTTGTGTGTGTCAAGTATAGCATATGTACAGAAGAGGTTGTGAAACCCAAGAACAGCATAACAAGTAGGATGAAGCCAAGCACCCATGTACTACTTCGGTCAGGAAATAGAACATTGCTAACCTCTCAAGGAATACTTCATATTTCCCTTCCCCCACCTCAGTCCTCCAGCTAGTCATCTACCTCTCTCTCCCTCTCTCTCTCCCTCCCTCTCTTTCTCTTAAACACACACACACACACGCACACACACGCACATGCACATAAATAAAACCATTAAAGATTGTTTAATTTTGCCTGTTTTGTGTAAATCTGTAGTAAATGAAATCACGTGTTCTTTTTGTCTTAACATCAGCTTTACAGGTCCCATCTGTGTAGGAGCATGCAGTGCATGCTGGGTAGCTTATTCATTTTCATTGTGGTAGTCGGTTGAATGAACATAGTATAGGTATTTATCCATCCACTTTTTAGTTGGTGGGCATTTGGGTTCGACCCAGTTTATTACTACTGCTTATTGTGCTGCTTTGGACTTTATAGTCTATAAAATCCAATACGCATGGGCATGAGTTCCTCGAAGTGTAGTCCCTCCATTCACAGCATCAGCATAAAACTTGTTAGAATGCAGATTCCTGGGCCCCACATCAGGTCTATATTCAAATAGCGTGTATATATACTAGTAAAATATGCTTATTTCAATGATTGTGGTTTTGCTTAAACTATTTTTGGGTCTTCTAGTTTGGGCTGCCTTGGGAGCCCATTAGCGATCACACCCATGGGTATACATACACGCAAATACACGCTCACTCCAGCCTCTTAGCAATAGACTCTTTACTCGTTTTTGAAACAGAGAAGTTTTATCGAGTTTGAGTCAAATTTTTGTTTTTTCCCCAAAGAATTAATATTCAAAAGAAGATTTGCTAACATTAAAGATTTCAAAAGAATATGCAGTAGACTGAGGACCTGCGAGAAGAGGATGTGGTTACAGGTTGGGCAAAACATTATTCCTGGAATGAGAGCTGCAGAGAAAGCAGGAGAGACTAGAGGAGGGTAGTGTGGCTTCAGATCCATTTGTACTACTGACACTTGTGTTACCTTCGGGAAGGGCCGAATTGCTCTGAGCTTCCGTTTTCTCCTTTGCAGAGAGGACAACATCATTAGAATATAGTGATGATTTGCAGGGCCACGTCCATTCAGTGGGTGCCTTTCAGCCTTGGCTCAGCATCTGAATCTGTTGGAACATGGCTGGTTGTCATGCCTTCATACATGCGATATTTTTACTTTATTTTTGTGCTTCCTGCAGGAACGGTTCCAGGTGAAGAATCCTCCCCACACATACATTCAAAAGCTCAAAGGCTATCTGGATCCAGCTGTAACCAGGAAGGTAAGAGGGATTTATTTCCACTCTTTGTTACCGCTTCCCCATGAGCAAGCAGAGTCCTCTGCACTGGGGAGACCTTCCTTTCTCTGCACTGTAGCCCGTGCCAGGGCCTCCAGGAAAACAGTCTAGAGACGAACATGAGAAGACAAAGGGAGAAGCTGTCCTTCTCACTTGAGGGTGTGTTTAAGAGTGCTTTCCTGAGGAGAGAGGCCCTTCCCTCTGATGGCCATTAAGGCACTGCCATGTGCGATTACACAGGCGGCAAGTGCAGTGCAGAGGTGTGGGGGCCCCAGGAAAGCAGGCCCCGCAGCGGCCGACTTGTCTTTCATGTCTGGGTGCATGTCCAGAGACCTTGAAAAATCACTGGGCTTTGTCATCCCAGCTGTGCTCTCACATCCTGTGTTGATGCTTTTAGCAGCTTCCCCGCCCCAGCCCTGCCCCTGGCCCCAAGAAGGTGAGGAGAGAATAAGCTGACTCCATTCTCAACAGACGCTCCCCTTTTATAAACAAGCCCTGCTTTGTGCAGCCACACAATTGGTTTACACTGATGCCTCGTGGTCAGGCATGCAGCCTGGCACAGCCCTGCAGGCCTGGGGCAGGCCTGGGATGTCTAGGGGCAGAGCTGTCCCTGCTAAGATGGGTAAAGGGCTCTTCTGCAGCGAGCGCTTGTTTTCCGGTTGACCTACTGCAACTCCTGCTTTCAAGACTGCAAGGAAAATATCTGGAGCTGAATCCCCTCTGTTGTTTCTGCGTGTGACCCATGAGAGAAGAAAGGCACGCTTTTCCCAGTTAGCCACTGTTCCCAGGGCTCTTGGCTGTTGTATTTTTTAAAAATAAATAAAAAACGTCCTTTTTCTTTATTTTTTTGCTTTCACTCACCCCCCCATCCCCACCCCACCCCCGCTTTTCAAAAAAAAAAAAAAAAAAAAAAGCTAAGCAAAGGAAAACAGCTATTATTTCCTCTTGGAAGTTCATGGTTAACATGCAGGCAAGCGGAAATCACATCTCGACATGATGATGAAATGGATGTAGACCTGTGCTGTCGGCTAGACGCCATATGGACTTCAGTGACACAGCCTCGTCTTCTGAGAATGTACCTGTCAAAGTCTCATAGCTCCCCCTCCCCCCCCGCCCCAAATATGGCACACACAAGTTTGTTTTTCTAAAGAGCTTCTGTCAGGCCCCCTCAATGAGACAGCTGCTTAATTCTTTGTTTCATTCTTGTTTGTCTCCTCCCCCAAGGACAGAGCAGCCTCAGCCATCAGATTAGAGGGGGCTAAGTGAAGGCACACCCATATGCACAGAAAACAAGCAGAAGGCTCCAGGTGGTTTCCTGGGCCATTTCTTTGCACAGGGGCAGCAAGCTTCTCCTTTAGAAACATTTCCAGGTATCCCCAGGCTTACACACCTTCAGGCTGGATGCTCAGGCGTTAGGCACACTCACGCCGAGCTGAGCATTGCAGAAATGCCGATGTCTGTCCTCAAGACTGAGAGCTTCCCTCACACAGAGTATGTCCCATCCTCAAACAATTATTGAAACATTTGTCAGATTCTGAAAAGAAAGGAGAAAATACGTGAACTCCCAGAGAGCTTCTTAGACTCCAGCCCCAAGCCCCACAGGGAGGAAGGTGCTGGGAAGGGAGAGGGGGTTCCTCCTGGCATGTTCGAGCTCTCCTTTGGAACAATTGCTTCTGGGTTGAGGCAAAGAATATAAGACACACACACAAAAATAACTAATAAGCTGCTCAGAAAGTGTTTTACTCCCTCACAAATAATGATAAAGAGGCCCAAGATAATCGATGTCTGTTTGGCTGACCTCAGTCTCTGCCCCGGGCCCTGTGTGTCCAACTGAATGGCCTTGTTTGGTCTGTGCCTCATCTTTCACCATCAGTCATTGGGGGCAGAAAAAAAAATAAAATGGATGTTGGATCCACCATCCCTGCTGCTCCGATTTCTGTCAGGAGCTGGCAGGAGGAAACGATCTGTTCCACTCAACGTAATTGTCATGCTTACAGCCTAGAGAAAAGGAGATTTTGTTTGGAATAAGGCATGGCTTTCAGTTAAAATGTGTTTAAAGTTCTCAGTTGTAATATGGGAGGGGGAAACAAAAAGATTTCAAATCAGGGCCAGATAGTCTAGGCCCAGCCGTCTTCCCTTAACTGCATTCAGAGTCCTCGGGTACTTCGTTCATTAAGCTTTTGTTCATCTGGAACACAAGGTACTCCATGTGCTGTCTTCTGAAAAAAATTCTGAAATATATTCTACTTAGATTTTCTTCTAAATAGTTTTAAACCCTCCAGGGCAGGAAAGGACGAGCCTAAATTAGATATCTCTGGGATCAGAACTCTCCAAACCAGCCTCCTCATTTCATACCAGCCAGTGCTTAGTCCATGCTTTGGAGGTGGGAGGGGTTGCTCGCGTCTGGCATGGGAGAGGCCACAGACCAGGAAGAAGGGAGTCTGGTCCTCTGTGATGGTAATATCTGTTGCCTCCGTCTCCAGGGCTCAGCTGTCTCCGTGGGCCCATCCCCACGCTGTACCTTATTCTTAGGGAGAGGCCGAGTCAGGGGTGAAGACTACAAGTGATGGTACCCTGCTCCTTTTAGCTGGTCCCCACGGGCACACGATTTCTCTTTTAAAGCATTCTGCATCCATTGTAGAAGTGCAGAGTGTTCGCACTCACTGTTTATGTGTTTAGTGAAGTGGGTGCCAAGCCTCTCTGTAGTCTAGAAGTCAGCTAAAAATCAAACAGTTCCCGAGAGAGTACAGTACAAGGGCAAAGTCAATTTAGTTTCACCTCAGGTGTTATGTAGTTGCCAAAGTGTAGTGCCTACCATAGTAAATGGCGAGTAAATGCTATCTGCTAGTGTCCTTCCCATTATCTGATAGTGTTTTGATATATGCCACTTAGTCCTTCAGCAGGTTTTCTTTTATACTCCATTATGTCCTCCTTGCTTCGCTGCGTGCCCTTATGGCTGACGATGTCTGGAAGAGATGACCTTGACCCGAGGAAGCGTGAGGCAGAGTTGGCCGGCAGAGGCCTCAGGAAACCAGTCAGAACTGTGCCAAATGCATAGCCAGGAGCACTGCATTGTCTTCTGAAGGCCACAGGTGTAGGCAGCCCAGGACTTATGACTCTGACATGGGATGGCCCCTTGGGAGCAGCCAGCACACCTGGAAATGGTGCCCTCAGCTGCGTGGCCATACGTAGACCCCCCTCATCAGCAGCCCTCAGTGCTGGAGAGCTCTGCAGGAAGCAGTCGGATGCCCCTCCAAACTGTAGATGCTGCTGCCATTTCTTAGGCCTTTCTTGATAAAAGAGGGGAGTGTCATGCTTTCTTCATTGCATCGAGGATGCTTTTATTTCACATATTCTTCTGTACCTACATTCTAAAAACCCAAAGTCTTTGGGGTGCTTTAGGAATGGCAACCAGGGGGATCTGGGAGACTTTGCTTCCTTGGTGCCCTGGTGAGAAGCAGTTGGAGAAGCAAAGGGCCGTCAGAAGAGAAGAGAGTGACAGGAGCCGCCCATACTGAGCAGGGTTCCACCTGGCTCTCCCCACCCCCTTCCTCCTGTCCACACTTTCTCCTTTCCTTCCTCTCCTTGCACACCTTTGCCTTTGGAGCTGGATACCCCTATATACCCTGCAATGATGGCGGTAGACAAGGCTTTCTAATATCCTGAGTTAGAATCCTCAAAGCCTTTTCCCGAGAACAGTGTAACAAGACGGTGGTTTGGACCTACAGGAAGGAAAGCAGAGGACTCTTCTTAGAAGACGTGGCACATCAAATGTCCTTCCAGAGTGGCCCAAGACTTTAGTCATTGCAAATAAGTGCTTCTGTAGGAAATGGTGTTCCAAAGAACTGCTGTGCTGTGCAACCCAATGAATCCTTGGAGGTTATATAGTGTTGAGAGGATAGAGAGGTGAGCACATTTACTATCAGAGGAGGATTCATTGAAGAAGAAAGACATGAGGGAGTTCTGGAAGGATCGTTGGGGTTCTAGAGGCATGGGAATGAGGAAGAACATTCCAAATGTAGAAGGGAGGTGCTTCAGAACAGGGACCTTCCACATGGGGGCTCGTGGGCGGAGACAACTATGAATGTTTATTTTTGGAAATGTTAGGTCATGCAGAAAGGAGTTAACATAGCAAGCCTGAGACTGCTACCTTAGAAATACCTGCTTGCAAGTTTGGCTTCTGGTTGTCAACTGGGAACTTGAATTTTGGGAGAGTTCCCACCATTCCCTGATCAGAATACTCCCGGTGCCCAACTTGTTTAAGCCAACAATATGGTTTATGCCGAATGCCTCTTTTCCTTCTGGGAGGCTGGACTTAGGTATGTGCTAGCAGAGAGTGCCCAAGTGACCCACCCTGCAATGAAAACCCTGGGCACCGAGTCTCTAATGAGCTTCCCTGGTCGACAGCATTTCACAAATACTGTCACTTGTGACTCCTTTGGGAGAAGACTCTTGGAAGCTTGTATCTGGTTTCCTCCAGACTTCACCCCTGGTATCATTTCCCTTTGCTGATTATGCTTGGTATCTTCCTAGTCTAATAAATCCTAGTCATAAGGACAACTGTATGCTGAGTCCTATGGAATCATTGAAACTGGGATGATCTTAGGGACCCCAACACATAAATATATTGGTGACTATTGTATTTCGGGGTAGGGGAAAATAATATACTTACTTAATGCCACTTAGTACATGAAAATAAGTAATTTTTCCCAATCCTTTTGCATCAGCTGATTTTCATGATGAGAAAAATGTGTGTGCTTTGCAAAAAGAAATGCGAGAAAAGCCCACTTCAGAAGCAGAGCTATTTTCATATCGTGTTAAACTTATTACAAGTAAGCTACAGTTTTAGCAGTTGCTAAAATATGTTTTGTGAGAATATGTGTTTCTTGAATTATAGAAATTCAGACGGCGTGTTCAAGAATCCACACAAGTGCTGAGAGAACTGGAAATTTCTTTAAGAACCAACCATATTGGGTAAGTGTGCCCATTTAATATTTAGCTCCAAGGCTCTTTGGACACTTTACAAAGTGACTGTGTCATACCTGAAGAGTTAAGCTTCCTTACTGTTCATTATAAGCTCGGAGACAGAGGTTTAGGTGGGTGGAACCTGTGTTGGCACTTGAGTTTCTCACAGTACAAGGATCAGTAGGAGCTGGACAGACAGTCCTAGATTTGGGATATTTATAACCATGGTAAAATTCTTTGCTTGGATGTAGTAGTAAGTGCTTGGCAAATTAGGAACCCCCAACAAGTAATGCAGACAGATTCTGGAAGATCTCCGAACCTTCATGGGCGTTCTCTGAGCTGGTTGTTTGAAATTGCTCCGTTCTCCTTTCCTCACTTCCCACCTTTCTGGCCAGAAGGGGACAGAAACTGGAGTGATGTCACCTGATACACTTCATTGTACACAGATACTTGGCTCTGCGTCTCTTCTTCCTACACCTCAGATTCTCAAATTTTTAGGACCAGGAAGTGTAAATCCACTCTAGAAAATAAAGTTTGAGGGATCTCGGTGCTAAGCATTTCTGAGTTTTCATGCAACAACATGGTTGCTTTGCCTCAAGCAAGTGCAACTTCATGGCATTCTCACATATTCCTGATGGCATAATTCTAGAGTACCTTAAAATAAGATGGTTTATCTGCAAGGCATATCCTATTTTATAGCCTGAGTTCTTCCTAAAATTTTTGTTTAGTTTCCAGCAAGTTTTTTAACCCTCTAGGCTTTAAATACTTGAGTTTTACAATAAGAAAATCTTTTAGGATTTTTCCCTTTGGCATTCTTTGCAGGTCTTTTGGAAATGAGGTTTTTACATATATATTATTTTATAGTTTTACAGAGTATTCTGTAAATTAATATATTACATAAGTAACAGCTTACTTCTACTTTAGACTATGTTTGCTGTAAGCCATTCAAGTGGTTAATTTTCACAGTTATTTCAGAATAAGCTTTTGTTATTGTTGTTAATCCTCACCCAATGATATTTTTCCATTGATTTTTTTTTTTTAGAGAGAGTGGAAGGGAGGGGGAGAGACAGAGAGAGAAACATCTATGTGAGACATACACATCTATTGGTTGCCTCCTGCGCATGGGTCAAGCCTACAACTGAGGTACGCACCCTTACCAGAACCCTCAGTCCCTGGTCCAAAGCTCTATCCACTTAGCCAAACTGGCTAGGGCAAAATAAGCTTTTTTTTAAATGGCATAAATGCAGGGTTAGAATGTTCATTTCTTAAAGGATAACTCTGCATGTTGTTTCCTTGAAAATGAAATATTCAAAAACTGAACCAATTCTAACCTAAAGTTGAAAATCACCTTCATCCCAGAAAATGGGCTGTAGAGCAGTGGATCATAGAATCATGATTTAGAACTGGAAGAGAAATTAAGGATTACCTAGTTCCTCATTTTACAGATTAGAAGTTTTAAGGACCAGAGAAGGTGAGTGACTCCCACAAAATCTACAGCTGTGGAGCCAGGTGCTTTGGTTCAAAATGCTGTGTTCTTTTTCTTATGTTGCCTAATCTGGCAGCCCTTTCCCTGAAAGGAAATAGGATAATCAGGACTCTGGGATCAAAGCAATGAGGCTTGTCTATTGGGGGTGAAAGTGGTGGTAAGTTAATATAGTTGGGCATCCAAGCTTAGGAAATTTACATACTTTCCAATATTTGTGGATCAGGAGCTAGATTCCATTTGGTAAGGTCCAACCCTATACTGTTGGCACCACTTCTTGACTGAATGATCTGCAGCCAGGATTTCTACAAATTGTCAAAAAGCATTTCTTCGGGCATTGCTGGAATAATGTGAAATTGACCATCAAATACCAAAGCAAGATGATCATTTCCAATACAAAGTTGGCTGAATAGTAGAGCCCTGGTTGGGTTGAAGCCAGTGCAAATCTGCAAGCAATTGGAATGGTTTGTTGTTTAGGATGCTGTGGGGGTGTTGAAAGATTCTTACGTTTCTTTCATCTTCTCCAGCTGAAGTTTTTTGTGTTTATCACCTATCTGAGGCACTCTGAAAGCTTTGGCTTTAGCAGCAGAAAAATGCATGGAGGTGCATTGTCTGTCTGTATGCAACCGATTACTGGCATAACCTTATACGGATGAAACCACACACCAGGATTTTGACCTGTCTTGCCTGACCTGAAAACCCAAGCCTAAACTGACTCTTCACTATGGAAACTAAGCAGCTTGAATTCATTTGGCTGGAAAATTTTCTGAAAAAGTTACTCAATGTGAAAGCAATCAATCAATACAATGAGGAATTCTTGGAATACAAGATGCTAAATAAGGGATCCATAGATTTTATTGTACTCTTTAAGGTACCATAATAGAAAGGTAATTGGGTGCCTATTTGCCTTATGAAAAGAAATATGTTAGTTCAGATTTTTGCTATTTGTTACTTGATCTAGGTAAGTTATATAAACTCTCTTTACTTACCATCTGATCTAAGTTAACTTCTTACCTATAAAATGAGGATAATAAAACGCCATAGGCATATTGTAAGGATCAAATGAAATAATTCACAAAATATCTAATATAAAAATGATCTAATATAGGGTTTAATACATAGTAATTACTCACTATATAACTGTTGTTTGTTATGCATATTGAAAATAATATTGTATCTAATAATAATTCAACAATATTATGTAATATGTCCCCAAGGAATTCCATGCAGAGAATGTTGCCTTCCTTGTTTAAAACGACCCTGACACCTAGGAGATTGTTGCTTACCAGAAATTAAAAGGAAGAATTACATTTAAAATATATTGTCTTAAAAAAATTATTCTTGGCACATACTTGCATTTCAAGGTTAAAGGCTAGGGCTTTGCTGAGATAACATTCCAAGCTATAGCTTTGCCAAGCAAAGGGTTTGTTCTGAGTTTTGATGTTAACCTAAAACTCTATAGATGGAGTAATCTTCTGAAAAAGAAAATTAATTTTCTTTGAGCCAAACTGAAGTAAGAATTGGACTAGAAATAATCGCATTCACTTACTCTTAAGAGTTATAATAATAGAGAAGAATTGGATTATGACTTATCCCAGCTCTTGAAATGACTTGGAATACCCTTGAAAGGAGCCACAAATATTAGAACACATTGGCCGGGCAGTGTGAGTAGGCATATGTTGTGATGTTTTGGATGTCAGGGTGATAAGATTCAAGTGGCCGCAGTAGTGGTGAGCTGGATAGATTTACGGGCTGTATTCCATGGAACTGAGATGTAGGCTATCTCTTCTTGCAGGTAATTCATTTTAGTAAAACTCCTTATTATGATAGAAAATTAATTCTCATCCTGAGTGCAGTGACAGAAATTCTGAAAGATGATCAGTTCATTTTATTTCATTGGGGGTGTTGAGAGAATGAGGTTGTGAGGGGAATGTCCTAGTGGGCAGGTTTGTAGAAAGAGGGGGGGGGAGTGAGGAGGTGCTCAGTGATATCCTCCCTCCTGGACTTTCAGCTTTTTTTGTGAAGAAGCAATGTGGGCTGGGCCAGGCCAAAAGAGCTGGTTCTAAGAGGTATAAAACACCTATGGGGTATGTGTGCATCAAGCACATATGGTTAATTCATTCTTAGATGGTGCTTTTTGGAAATTTTCAAGATCATAGTCATTTGGTCATGTATTAAGCATTGTATTAGGCACATTAAATGTATTATTTATTTCTTACAAAATCTTTTTATTGTTGCCTTTTACCTCTGAACCTTCATTTTACAGATGAGAAAGCTGAGTGAGCTATTAAGTATCTTGCTCAAGTCCACACAACTTAGAAGCACTGAGGTTCGAACCTAGATATGTCCAAAGCCTGTCATAAAGCCAACAGTTCTCAATTTCTTTTTAATTTTAGGACTCCTTACTCTCTTAAATTATTTTTGTGGGTTTTATCTATTAAATGTTCTCCATATTGGAAATTTAAACAGATACATTTTAAATATGCTTCTTTAATAAAATTTAATATTTATTAAATATTTAATAACTGTAAATATATAAATACAAAATAAGAAACATAATATAGCACAAATAACATATTTCATAAAAACTATTTTCCAAAGCAAAAAAAAAAAAAAAAAAATATTGGTGACAAGAGTGGCCCTAATTTACATTTAACATCTCTTTAATGGTTCGTGAGTAGAAGGCAGCTGCATTCTCATACCTTGCATTCAGTGTGTTGTGCTATGTTGCTTTGGTTGATGTATATGAAGAAAACCTGGCCTTACACAGATACTCACCTGTCACCATATGTAGCCATTTCAGTATTATTGACTGTAGTCACTGTGCTGTATTTTATACTCCTGTGACTGTTTTGTAACTACCAATCTCTACTTTTCAATCCCTTCACCTTATTCACCAAACCTCCCAGCCCCCTTCCCCTCTGGCAACCATCAATCTGTTTTCTGAGTCTATGAGTCTGTTTCTGTTTGGTTTGTCCACTTATATTGTTCTTTGGATTCCACATATAAGTGAAATCTTTCTCTGACTGACTTATTTCACCAGTAATACCCTCTGGGTTCATCCATGCAGTCGCAAATGATAAGATTTCATTCTTCTTTTGTGGCTGAGTAATATTCCATTGTATATCTAGACCACAGCTTTTTTTTTTTTTTTTTTTTCTAAATCTGTCTACTGATGGGCACTTGGGTTGCTTTCACATCTTGGCTATTGTAAATTATGCTGCATTAAACATAGGGGTACATATATTTATTTGAGTTAATGTTTTGGGTTTCTTTGGATTTATACCCATAAATGGAATTGCCGGGTCATAAGGTAGTTCCATTTTTAGTTTTTTTGAGGAACCTCCATACTGTGTTCCATAGTGGCTGCACCAGTCTGCATTCTCACCAGCAGTGCAGCAGGGTTTCCTTTTTTTTAAATTTTTTTATCTTTATTGTTGGAAGTATATTACATATGGGCCCTACTCCCCCACTCCCACCCTCACTGAACTCTTCTAGTCCACCCCATAGGAAGAGTTTTTAAATA